CCGGTAACCCCATACAATAATATTCTTGATACAGCTGTTTTTTTTACCACCATTGACACTTTAGACACATGTGTACTGTTTATATCATCATACCATTCTTATAATAATACACCCAGTATATTCGTCTACTTCTTACAATGGAGTCACTTATACATTACCATCCTTGCCAGGAACGACGGATAAGGATAACGATACGGCATGCATGCCCATACACTTTAAATCATAGTACTTCTGGTACAGTAGTATTCACTTTACAATGTTATGCCTCATATATCAATACTGCGCAAATTTCGCCACTATTCACATAATAGTACTCTGGGAATGTGAACACCGGAAGCCAATAAGTAATTTTTACACAATACTACTTCACACGCCTGTGTACACTTCCTGCAAAGGCACCCTCCTAATAATAGGGGTTTACACATTATACCTCCGTTAATATAATAACACTCCAGGGAGTGGTATGGATTCCGGAATATGGTGCTTTTCCTATAATAGAAGCCTAAACGGTAGGCCATGGAGTTCCAAGGTTTTCAATAACTCTGGTGTTTCGATATCCAGAGTCGTAGCACAGTTGTGCATTCCAAGACACCACACTAGGGAGATATCAGTACGCTCACAAGACAGCGCTTCAGATCATATGTACTGCTTATACAACTGTCCTTCTAAAAGAACAACACTCTGCAGATATCACTATATCTCATCCATTAATACCTTCATATAACAGTACTACGAGAATCTCCGCATTCGTCATCATGGGAAATCGGGACAAATGTATACTTCCTTCTCATCTACCCTTGTAGAATATGCATGCATTTCATAGAATATTGCACTACGAATAATGACACCCCTCGACAATCAGGACTCTTGAAACAATAATGCGGTTAACATTATAGTGGCCCCGGCATAGCTCTACTGTTTAGACAATATGATTCGAGGCCACCTCTCGGATCTGCCGAATCGCCCAAGTCACATCATCCAGTCATTATACCAACATGACCACCATTCAAATAATGCTATTCCAAGGACAGTTGTACTCATCAGGACAAGCTACTCTGTACATAACATCAGTGTTCTTCAAGTAATTGTGCAATTCACACATTCATGTGTCCCACAGAAGTGTACCTCCCATACGGAGGTACTATGGCAACCTTCACACGTTGCGTAACGGGGGCACGTCCTCATACGGCACAGAGCTAAGTCATAAATTCTGCGCCTCTCTTTACTTTACTTAATAATACCGGCTTAATTTCGGCACTCATCAAATGGCATCGTACAAGCCATATTAGGCATCTTTAGATATGAGTACTATACATACATCTGTACTGTCTCCATAAGAGTACTGCAAGTCATGAATACTCCTTCTACAAATATTCTCTTCAAATAGGAGTATTATTCACAAGACAGGGCTGTAAAGAGAACTGTACTCTCTTCACATCACTACGCTTCTAAAGAATCCTACGCCAAGGTTAATCTTATTTATAAGGGCAGGACACTCCACACATGATGCTCTTGTTGGTATAGTAGCATTCCAGGTGATCCATATAACTCCACTACTAGTACCTTCATAGAACAGTACTATGCGAACATTTATACTCCCCGCCGTTGAACATCCAGGGACGTTAGTATTCTTTAGATAATACTTAGACTGCAATATTCATTGACTCCACAGGACACTGCTATTCATATAATGAAAGCATAAACCCGGAATCTTTAACATACCCCATTACATGAATGGCAATACTCTTCACATCATAGTACTATATGTACATCTGCGCACTCTACGAGGGTTAGGGACTGATACTAGTACTTTATAAATAATGGTATCCAAGGCGGGCCTCCATTCTTCAAATACCAATACAATAAGGGTGTTACTACTCTCTACATATAAGTATTACGGACACCTGGAGACGCTTCATATACAGTAACACTGGAGGATATCCTTACC